TGTCCCCTCTCTCAGGGCACAACACGCTGTGCTCAGCTTCTCTGTCCCTTGGGAAGACAGCCCTGCCCATACTTGGCACAGCCCAGCCCAAGGCTCGCTTAGCACCTGCGCTCGGGGCCAGTCCCTGGAAGGTCCCCCCTGAGCTGGCAGAACTTTAGTAGGTCCTCAGCAAATCCACACCACTCCTTCCTGGCATTTGCCACCTCTGTAGGTTCATGTTTATTTATTGTCTGTTTGATCAAGGACCCGTTTTTCAATGGACTAGAGCTCAAGAAGGCAAAAGCTCTGCCTGATTTGCCTTTACTGTATTTCCAGTTTCTAGAAGAGCCCCTAGAGCATAGCTAGCACTCCCAGAGTGAGCATGGAAAGCAGAAACTCTTAAACATAAACTCCAAACTGCCTTCCAGACTTTGGCTATTCGTGAACAGACCTCGGGGGCCATGACGTCATGAGCTGTCTGGTTGCCAAGGCATCAATGTGCAGCTCTCGCAAGGGACCCAGCAGCTGCTCCTGCATGTGCCGGTTGCCACCTCTTATGGAGGAATTCCTGAGAACTTCAAACAGTTCTGTTCTTTATGAAAAATACTACCACCACCACCAGCCCCCTAAAAGAAAGCAACAGCTGCTGGTGCTGGTGCCTATTAAGAAGGCCAAGTGAAACAATCTGATACTGTCCTCTTTCATGGGAGATGTATACTATGGGTGTGTTCATGAATGCGAAGGTTAATAATAGCTAACTAACATCTATGGATATCTGACAATGGGTGAGGCTGTGTGCTGGTGCCCTGTTTACTCATGTAATCTTCTCAACAGATCTATTTTTATCCCCCTTTTACAGATAAAGAAACAAGAATCAGAGATGTCAAGTGATTCATCCGAAGTCACACAGCTAGTAATGGCAGAGAGTAGACTGGAAGCCACATGATCTAACCACTTCCATAGCCTGCACTCTTACCCATTACCTTTATCCCCTCTCTCAGAAAACTCCAGGACACATCCTTAGCCGATATCAAGGGAGTTCTGTACTCATAGACTAAAGACTCTTTTCACTGAGGAATAGTTGTTACTTCATCTGATAACTTTTGGTTTAAGACCTAACTAAAAATAGCTAAATATCCTACCTTTAGTTTCTTCCCCTTCCATACATTTTCAATTTTGATCCATTTCTAAACTAGAGATAGATTGATTATCCGTCTCTTTCCTAGGTTCATGAATTGTCAATGGCTTCTCTCTATTTAATAGAATATGATAAACCACTTAGCCTGGCACATGAGGCCCCAGGAACTGGCCCAGGCTCCGTCCTCTCTCATCACCTACTACATCCTTCAAATAAGGACTCCTAAGCATATTGCAAGACAAAGACTTGCCTGAAATGTGAATCTCTCATCTACTCATCCATCCAAGCCAGGTCAACCTGGGGGACAAATCACGTATAGAATGACAAGAAATATTACTGTTATTTAAAAATAGTTCTAAATATTATTAAGTTCCATAATACTCAACTAAGTCTGGGAGGAAAGATTAAATGGAAAAAAAAAAAAAATTGAGAAAGGCCTCAGCCTTTTCCAAACATGTGGTTGATAAGGTACTCAAGAGTAGATTTAAATTTAATTTAAAATTAGGAAAGAATATTTAACCTCTAGAGGGTTTTTTTTCCCCCCTCAACAACTCTTAATCTACCAGAAGGCTTTTGCAGCAGTTTTCTCAAAGTGTAACGAATTCTACTTTGTATATCATCTCTTCATGTTTAATTATAAGGATCTGAATTTGCAACACCAATTAATCAGTAATTAGATAGTACTGTACCAAAAGAAATTAAACAAAGATAAAAACAAAAACACAACTCAGCACAAGACCATATCATCTGGTAACATTTCATGTAGCAAGATAAAAATACTCCCGGAGAGATACAGGTTAATTGAATCAGGAACAATGTATTTTTTTGATTTGGGGTTACTATTGTTGTCAGTGACCTCCACAACCAGTGGGACAGTCAAAAGTAATCCAAATGCAAAAATGCTCTGATTATACAAAAGTTTATTCCTCTTTTCACTCTTCATCAGAAATCCAGTTTGACACTCAATAATTGTTTTGAAATGTAGTGGTAAACTTTGGCAATACAAAAAAAATGCATATTCTCTTCTTTTAAATTTAAATTCAATTAACCAACATATAGTATACCATTAGTTTACTATAGAAACCTTTAGTTTCAGATGTAGAATTCAGTAATTCATCAGTTGCATATGATACCCACTGCTCCCACGTGCCCTCCTTAACGCCTGTCACCCAGTTAGCCCATCCACCCATCAACAACCCTCAGTTCACTTCCTATAGTTAAGAGTCTATCGTGGTTATTTTCTAGTGACACATTCTCTGTTGATGTTCATGTTTAAAAAAAAAAAAAAAAAAAACACAAAAATCAGCTTTTGAGTTAATTATCATTTAAACCTCTTAAACAAAAATGTTCACCTTAGATGTGAAAAAAAAAAAATCCAAAAAGATACAAAGCAGATTGAGGAAGGAAAAATAAAGGTTCCCGAAACCAAGATGTAAGAGAGGGAAAGATGTGCCTGTACAGCGAGTCCCTTTAGAATCAGGGCAGAGGGCAAGGGGACCTTTTCCCTACAGCCATGCCATTTCCCTGTGCCAAGCTCATGGCTGCTTATTCTGGTTCTCAAGCCTTTTGTTAATAAGAGGAAGAGAAGGCTGACAGAAAGAGAAGTCAGCCTCTCCTGTAATTCAGTCTTGAAGGAGATGACAAGCAGCCTGCTCATGTGTGCCCCCCATTGGCATGGAGTGATCCTGACAGCTGGACTCTGGGGAGGGCAGCCGGTCAGAGGAGCCCGAGGGTCCACATAGCAGGATATAGAACAAACCTTTCTCCTTCAAGGCCTCCAATTACTCCTTCCCCCTGTGACCATGACTACATAGGGAGATTGAAGCAACAAAACACTCAAAATTACCTTAAGGCACTTTAAGTTCTTTCCCTGGTGCTGTTTCAGGAGGCTTTGTGTCTGTAAGAAACTGGCATCATCTTTACTCCCAAGTATGAGGATCGTATAAATAATGGATATTGTGAAATATTTTAATTATGTGCCAAATGAATGAGTGGGTTTTTCTCTCAGCGTACGAGGTTGTCTTGAAAACTCTTGCAAAGTGAATTTCACTGTGTACTCTCAAGCTTGATTTCTAGAAGCATTTAATTGCCATTCTCTGAAAAAAAAAAAAGTGATTTCTCTTTAGATAGAACAGTTTGCCGAGAAAGAGGGTGAGGTGCTTTGAGAAGAACTATAGAAGAAAATTTAAAAGATTCTCATCTTTTGGCACCTTGGATTGAAAGAGTAAGCTTTGTTTAGTAATACAGTGTCATCGTGGACATTGGAGAGCCAAGTTATAATAATCTTTATAATTTCGTGATGAAATTAGTTGAGCAGCGCCCCCAAATTTGGGAACAATTTGATTTTTTTTCTCCAATTTAAGAATCTCTTTTCCCAGTGTGTTGATGCTATAAAGTTTCTATCCCTATGAGTTCACTGCTTTAAAAATTATAGAGCACGCCTTGAATGAAAGCCACATTTGTCAACATGACATTCATTTGTCAATATGGTTTATTAATCCCCTGTCATACTTCTTCAACTATTCTCTAATCTGAAACTGTTCGTCTCTCAAGAGGTGGTACAATTTATCTGATTCCAAGGTACCACGTAAATTTTTGCCTCTTGATATTAACTTCTTTATTTGAATAAGCTTCAACAAGCGGACTTCAGTCCACAATGATCATTATCTTATGAACCTTCACGCGGGGTTAACTGGCCAAAAATTAATGAACCAGAGTAATCTCTTCATCTCAATGAATGTTGCCCAATGGCTCTTCACTTTAACAACATGGTAACTACCGGGATGCCCCCTGTCCTTCCTGTAGGAAAGTGTAGGAAAGCAGGGCACTGGGGTTTAAACACTTCTAATCGCATTTCTCCTCCACCATCTCCCGTTTCAGTAAATGGCTTTAGTCAGTGCTCAAGCCAGACTGCCTGACAGCCATCCTGGATTGCTCCCCTTTGCCCATCTCCCACCCTCAGGGCACCAGCCAGGCCTGACAGAGCAGGTGCCACTCTCCCCCTCCCCAGCGCAAGCCACTATTTCCTCTTGTGCCCAGACTCGGAGCAATTACCTCCTAAATGGCCTCCCTGCCTTGAGTCTGCCTTCCCTAAAATCCATTCTCCGTAGAGCAGCTCAGGTAATTATTTTTAATCATATTATGTCACTAGGCCTGCTCAAAGCCTTCCAGTGATTTCCCATTCCACTTAGAATAAAATTGAAACACTTCCCATGTGCAAAGGACCCGACATGACCAGCTCTGCACCCTTGTCCCCTTCTCACCCAAAGTGGGATGCTTTTCAAATACCCAGCACCCAATCCCACCATCTAGCCTTTTGACAGTTGTCCCTTCTGCTTGGAGGGCATTTCCTTACCTCCTCAGAACTGAGAGCCCCACCTTCACACTTCACCTGAGGTGTCACCTCCCAGAGAAACCTTTCTTGACCACCTAAAGTGCAGCCACCTTCCATCACTGTCACGTCAACCTGTTCATGCACTTCACAGCACTTGTCACTATCACGAATTATTCTGTTCCCTTTTGTTTGTTTCCCAGTAATTGTGTTTCTCCCCACCAGCCTTGTCTGTTGTTCACCATACATCGGCTGTGCCTAGAACAAGGTCTATCTTAGAGCACACTCCCAGTATTTGTTAGGTGGCTATCCAATGAGGAATCCTTCCCTTCCTCATACTATAGGATTTTGACTGGATCATAACCTCTGGACCTCGGCGGAATTCCTGATCTATACAATAAAGCTGACAAAAGTTTGGATTTTATGGGGCTAAGTTAAAGGAATAAGTGTGTAGTAGCGTGGGACACATTGTACGTGTGGGGCACATAGCCCATAATAGACCACAGTAGACACAAAATGAGCACAGGTAACAATGTCCCCTCTGTTTTACAGGAAATCCTCAGAGGAACTGGACATGGACAAGGTGACAGCAGCAATGGTACTAACCAGCTTGTCCACCAGCCCTTTGGTTCGGAGCCCACCTGTGCGGCCGAATGGTAAGCCTGGGGTACGGGACCTAGGGGAGGGCTCCCTGACACCAAGAGCAGAGCCCCTCTTTGAAGGATCTCATTTCTAACACACACATAATAAACAGTTTAACCACCCCTCAGCAGCAGAAAGCAAGGGAAACTGGAAGAAATGGAGACCTCACAACTATCATCTTCTTCCTCATCTTCCCAGAGACCTCCCAGCATCTCATTCATACATACGTCCGTTCAGCTCACATGTACTGAGCTCCAGCACCTTTCCAGAGCACATTTTTTAGTGCTCATACTTCTTTTTTCCCAGGTAAATGGAGGTTGGTCCAATGAAGTTATTTTCACCCGCATTATTTCTGTTTAATTAGACCAGTAGTTGTATCAAAGAACTCTGAATATTAAATATTTTGAAAAAGTACTATCCTAATAGAATAATAATATTAATCAAATAGAAGTATGTGGTCCATTCATTCATTCAGTGTATATTTATTGGGTAGCATGCTAGATGGTTTGAAAACAATGTCCATAATCAATCATTCATATTGTACAATTCCTATGGGGAAAGAACCCTATCAGTCACATTAATGGCTAGCATTTATTCAGCACTTACGATATGCCGAGTTCTAAGCTTACTTAATCTCATATAATTCTCACAAAAACTCTATGTTATTATCACTATTTTATAGGTGAATAAACTGAGGCATATGAGGATTAACTAACTTGTAAACAGCAGAGCTGAAACTCCATCCCGTATCTTTCTGCTTCCAGATCTGCTATCTTAGTCATGATATAATATTGACACATATAATTCAACAGGATATATCAGGAGGGCAGCAGGAGATGAAGTTGGAGAGCTTGACCCAATATTGATCAAGAGAAGCCATGTGTTCCTGGCTAGGAGTTTGAACATTAATCTGAGTCTACAGGATATCTGTTAAGTGACAGGCACTGGAACGTTATGATTAGGATTACAGGCAAATACAAAAAACAAGACCATATGGGTGTCCTGGACCTTGGTGGTCACACTGGAGATGAAGAGGACATAATTGAGAAACATGGAGGAGGCAGAATCGACAGGATGTGGTGATGATGGACAGAGAGAATGAAAGAGAGGGAGTGACAAGGGTGACTTCCAGGCTATCCGTGTGCTTCAGGAGGAGGCCCCTCCCAGAGATGGGGAGCAGAGCAGGGACATAGATCTTTGGGTGACTGTTAGGGCAAGAAGTGGGGTTGCTGAAGAAGGTAAAGGTCCAGTTTGGGACATGTTTAGTAGGCAGAACCTTTCAAGGGTCCTTGTCTGGTGGAGATTTGGGTCCAGACTGAGAGAGACCTAGGCTAATGGTGCAGGACTGGTAGGCATCATTGCAAAGCCAGGTGAAGAGATGAGATCACCTGGAGGACACTGTGTAGAGGCAGAGTATGATGAGAAGGTAGCTAAGGGGCTGGTAGGGCCTGTCATCCTATAAGGGACCAGCAGAGGTTAAAGAGCCCGAGGGGACTTGAGGGGTCACCGACAATGTAGAGGAGAACCCGGAGAGTGCGGTTCATGCAAGTCAAGGGAAAAGCATGTTTCAAGGAGAACCTCTGATGCTACAGAAGGTCAGTCATGAGTCCTTCTCATGACTGAATTCTGCATCAAGTAGAAGGTCACTGGTGGTTTTGGCAAGAGCATTCCCAATGGACCACCCCTGGGCAGAAGCCAGGTCACTGAAATGCAGTGCACTGAGACCGCTGAATGAAACCTTCTCTTTAAAGCCAGCCTAGTCAATTATGGGACTGAGCTATGGTTCACACACCATTTGGTTATAAGCATGAGTTGTGAAATTATATATGTTGGCTATCCAGTGGGTCCTCCCCCATGTTTACCCCAATCCAGCTGGGATTAAAATGGGATTTTATGAGCCTCTTAAAATGAGCCTGACCATTCCTATTAAATGACCTGGACTTCTTCTCTGGGCTTCTTGGCGAACAGGTATCCTGACTTACCTTTCTCAGCTTGGCAATGCTGCTGAAGAAAGATTATAGTAAACGCAAAGTGGAAAGCATCTCCAAGACCCATTAGAGGGAAAAAAGAATCACAGAGGAGAAAAAGTAGTGTTTTTTTTTTTTTTGCTCTAATCATCATTTTTACCACTGTGTTCTTTTTTAATTGAGAATATCTTTAATGTTCCTTTGTATTAAAAGTTCAAATCAAAATAAACTTTTCGCTTCTTCAATGAAAACTTTTGTTAACATTGTTACAAAGAAACTAATTCAGTGTTTGTTACGTTTTAAAAAAGAACTACCCAACTAATAATCCCAAATTGTCTATTATCTCTCATTTAGTCTGCAACAGGAAGCAAATTTTTAAAAAGGGAAAGTAGTTTATGAAAATGAAAGAATTATTAAATTTTTTAGAAATAAAGACTATGTCCAGGATTACTGTATGTCAATGAGGTTTTGAAAACTGTTGTGTTCCTTTTCTGTGTCTGAGAGGGATCGTTTTGTCAGGATGTGGTGTGCAAAGAGAGTAAGAGACCAGCAGTGTGTGTCTACAATTTGGCAAATATTTGTTTAAGCCAAGAAGACAATGTTCTCTGAAAAACACTCTGAACTGGTTCTGACTTTTTTCTGAAAAGTTTATTTCTATATCACATTATCCTTCTGTTTAAGTAGTGTTTCTAAGGGAAAGGCCATTCCCAAGTAAGCAAGTTAACTTTTGGCATTGCCATGAAGCAACGTAACCACACTGTAATAATGGCTGGTTTTCAAAATAAATTCAATTCCTCAAACCTAGAGCAATGACACATCTAGCACCATGAACTTATTTTATTTTGCAGTGTTTTCTACAGTATATTTATAAGCCTCATAAGCCTGCCAAGTGAGTCTGTCACACCAGGTAATATTACCTAAGGCCTTACATGAGGCTCCTCTTGAAGTCGTGTTGTATTGAATGGAGCTTTCTTATTTACAGTCGGGGACTCGGTCCTGTCAGTGCCTCAGTCTCTGTGTAGACTGTGAGGGTGAGATGCTAATTTAGTTTTGTTGCGGCTGTCGAGGTGTGAGCCTGCATAAATGACCCCTGGATTCTGTCAGAGCCTTTGCTTTAATGAGATGGGGAACTTCCTCTGCTATTTCCGCCTCAAACTTCGGTCCACCAAGAGAACTCTTGGTCTGACATAGCTGAGGAATACGCTAGCACTCTAATTATGTGAAGATGGTTAAGAAGTTTCTCCCTGAATGCTAGTCTACTGTTTCCCTTCATTACAAATTACACAGACGTTAGCAACAATTTTTTTAAGATTTTTATTTATTTATTTGACAGAGAGAGATACAGTGAGAGAGGGAACACAAGCAGGGGCAGAGGGAGAGGGAGAAGCGGGCTCCCCACTGAGCAGGGAGCCCAACAACAAACATGGGCCTAGAGGATCATGACCTGAACTGAAGGAAGACACTTAACAACTGAGCCACCCAGGTGTCCCATTAGCAACATTTTTTTAATGAGGTATTTTGAGACTTTTTCTCCTTTGTACTTAGAATATAGCTTTAATATATTCAAAATGTACATAAATATGAAGGAGAAATCATCCTTTAAAAAGAAAGTAGAGGGGTGCCTGGGTGGCTCAGTCGTTAAGCCTCTGCCTTCTGCTTGGGTCATGATCCCAGGGTCCTGGGATTGAGCCCCATGTCAGGCTCCCTGCTTGGCGGAGAGCCTTTGTCTCCCTCTCCCACTCCCCCTGCTTGTGTTCCCTCTCTCGCTCTCCCTCTCTGTCAAAAAAATAAATAAATAAATAAATAAAATCTTTGAAAAAAAAAAAAAGAAAATAGAATTATACAAATGCTCATTAAGATTGGGCATCTTGAAAGGTAAAGCAAATCTTCAGTGGTTTGCTAAAAACATTCATTGCATGAGGACAGGCCCAAGACATTCTAACTGGGCAAAGATCTCTCTACACTAGCAAACATTTTATAATGTTTCCCCACAGGTGGAAAGGTAAAATTCAACACCAGTCTTACCAGGAATTATTACCAATAAATCCTCCTCTGACCTCAGTTTTGCTAGAGACAAAAGAGGCTGTTCACAACACACTCATAAAGGAGAAGACCAACGGGTAGACCAGGATTTGGTCCCAGCACCCACCCAAGTTCCACACCAGTCACGCAGCAAGTCACTGAACTTCCAGCTGCCTCACGATCTCCATCTGTAAAATAGGCATGACTGTCCTTACTCTGAGAGACAGATGTCGTGAGAATGCTCGAGATCTTGTGAAGGATCTCCGCGAGATGTAAAACACTCACCGATTGTAAGGCACTGTTATTTGTTAGAATAAGCAGCTGTTAGTATAAGGTAGATGGCCGTAGGTAACTATCTGGAAATTAGTCCCTTTGACTCTTCAATCTTGGACTTTTTCTATAAGTGTAATGCAAGGATCACAGACCTATGAGAAATTTCTTTTGAAAAGTTAAAATCCGGGATGGGGGTGGGGAAGACAGCTGCCCATGAGTTCTTTCTTAGAAAGGCAGGCGCTCCCCAGACTTTGTAAACAAGAACATCTTCTTTTTTTTTTTTTTTTCATCTAATCTCCACTGTTATCCTGAGAAACTAGTGTTGAACAAAACACCACACATCAAAAAACTGAGAAAAACCTGTTGTGTGATGAAAATAGCTACATGTTTATAAACTGTAAAGCAACGCGGATTTTTTTTGTAGGTTTTTTTTTGAGGTTCAGAGTACATCTTACATCCCCAACCGTTGCAAACTGTCGAGTGGGCTGCAAGCGCTTTCATGAGCAGAGCATGGAGTCCCCCGCTGCCCCCATTGCCTCTGACACCCCCCTCCCCCCCCACAGTGCAGCCCAGGCTCCTACTGACCCTGTGTTTGTGTGCACGGACAGAGGGCCTCAGCGGATCCTGGAAGGAGGGAGGAGGCGTACCTTCCAGCAGCAGCAGCGGCTACTGGAGCTGGAGCGCCCCCAGCGACCAGTCCAACCCGTCCACCCCGTCGCCGCCGCTGTCCGCTGACAGCTTCAAGCCCTTCCGCAGCCCCGCGCCGCAGCCGCCGCAGGACGACGGCATCGACGAGGCAGAGGCCAGCAACCTGCTTTTTGACGAGCCCATCCCCAGGAAAAGAAAGGTTGGTGTGTGGGCCACACCGTGTTTGGGTTGGGTTGCAGGAATGTCCACCTTCCAAGGGCCTGTGTGAGCCTAGGGGGGCTGATGCGGCTCTCCTCCACCCCACGCCGGGTGGGACAGACAGAATCGGCCCCTGCTCCCCTCTGATGTTCTCTGACGGTTCAAAATAAATGAAGGGTCATGATTAAAAACAAAAATGACCAAGTCATTGATAATGTTTCTTCCAAGAACACATCCCCTCCCCGCCCACCGACCCCATCCTCTGTCAGTTGCTGCACTGGAATAGGAATTAACATCAGGTATTCTACGACTAACCAGCATTTGGAAGTTAGAAAATTGTACTTCAGGCTTGGTCTGGTAATTAATTCACTCTCTCGTTGGGACTTAATTTTTTCATCTGTAAAATAAAATTGGTATTATATCTTTCTCTTTTCTGCTTCAGTAAGCCCCAAAGTGTTGTTGGGAAGAATATTTGCGCCTTATTTTTATAAAACCAGTAGAAACATACATGCCAGAAAACATATAAACATATGTGTGTATTTATATACTAAAAAGTACATATTTACTCCACTAAAAGAGAAAAGGGAGAACCAATGAATTGATTTAATAAGTTAAGTGACTATAGCTTTTATCTTTTTTTTAGATTTTTGTTTATTTATTTATTTATTTGACAGAGAGATCACAAGTAGGCAGAGAGGCAGGCAGGGAGAGAGAAGGGGAAGCAGGCTCCCTGCCAAGCAGGGAGCCCGATGTGGGGCTCAATCCCAGGACCCTAGAATCATGACCTGAACGGAGGGAAAAGGCTTTAACCCACTGAGCCCCTGATTATAGCTTTATGTAATCCTCACAGCAGTCCTGCACCATGAGTATTATTTTCCCATTTCAATATGAGGAGGTTGACAATCAAGGGGTTTTGCATTCAACTCACCCCTGTCATGCAGGTTAGAAAGGGCCAGAGCAGTCGTTCAAACACAAGTCTGCCTGGACCTCCAGCTCACATTCTTTTCATTTTCTTCACATACATTTAAATCATTATGTTGGCTCCCAATTTTTCAAAAGAATTTCTATTTCCTGGAATAAAGCCATACTACTATATCTAGAAAACACTTTAACATTATTTTTTAAATCACTATATATATATATATGTATATATATATATATATATATATATATATGAGACCATTATTTTACATTTTAGTCTTTTAATTGGTTATCAGTAGCTTCATTTATTCATGGTAATTTACAAATGAAAATCCAAAGCCAAACCTTGAGGGCTGCAGTGCAACCTTTTTTATCCCCCCAATTCATTTCAAAGAGCAAAACAAAGAGATGGCATGGATCCAACTGTCCCTCCCTGCATCTCTCTTAGCATCCTTCGGCATGTGTGACAGTGGACGTTGTATAAGCACACACTCTTCTTGGAGAACGGAGTGTTCCTTCAGTCTCCTGTCCTTCCCAGAGGTGGTGGCGTGAAGGCTTGCTGTTTTCACACACCTCTCCGTGGGGCAGGGGGACTGGAGTTGCTCCAGCCTCCTGTGGGTCCCCGGGGAATCTGAGTCTTTGCTTGACTCATCAGGGAGAGAAGCTGCCACCTGTGTCAGTGGGAACCTGCAAGCAAGACAGCCATGTGGACCCAAGGCTTGTCCTTTTGCCTCTGGCTGCACAGACTTTCTCTCTGAGCTCATCTGTGTGATCTCATCCAGTAGGTCCTGGTATTGTGGCGAGGAATCCGGCCCAGAACGCACCCCCCCACACACACACACATACCCCCGCTTGTAGGGTTCACTGCTGAAAACCTGCCACAGCCTTTCATTTCTAATGTAGCCAAGAGCCAAAACTCACACTCTCGCATTACAATTAAGTTACATTGGTCAGACTTGTAGATTTTATAGGCTTTAACTAAGCTAGGGGATAGGCAAGTCACCAAAGGAAAAGGGGGGGGGGCTTAATTACAAAGTGGCTTTATTTGAAGGGCACAGACCCATTCTGCAGGATGCTGGATAGTAGGAATAAATGCATGAATAAAAAACATGTTCAACCTCTTTTTTTTATTATTTTTTTTCAAAGATTCTATCTATTTATTTGACAGATGGAGACCACAAGTAGGCAGAGAGGCAGGCAGAGAGAGAGGAAGGGAAGCAGGGTCCCCACTGGGTGGAGAGCCCAATGCGGGGCTCGATCCCAGGACCCTGAGATCATGACTGGAGCCGAAGGCAGAGGCTTTAACCCACTGAGCCACCCAGGCGCCCCTGTTCAACCTCTTTCTTTATGATTTTTCCCTCTGGCTGAGGCTCGTAATCACTCAGTTTCAAATCATGGCTCTTAACATGGATCAAGTCCTTGCCTTTTTAACTTCAAGTTACATTGACTAGTGAGAGTAATGAGAATGTGGGATGGTTGCTAATCATTTATTTATTAAGAGAACCAATATTTATTGTGCACCCATCAGGCACAATGCAGAGAATGGAGGTCCTGAGAATGGAGGTGTAGCCGCTTCATTTAAAGTTAGAAATTGGGCAGGTGGACACTGATGTAGAAAGAGGCGGTAATGATCAGAGTGATAACAGCTGTGCTCAGAATGTGGCAGAAACACAGTAACTGTGATGCAGTTATCTTAGAGTTTTAAAAATCCTATTTCAAAAGATTTCTAAGAGTTAATTTGCTCAATCCATTTGCCAATATGTTCTAGTTAGTCAAACTTTCTGAGTTCATCTAATTTTTTCTCTTCAACCCCTCAGATTCCTAATCTGTGTGAGACCATGGGCAATTGTGATGGTCACGTTTCCTGTGGGGATTGTTTGAGAATCTTCTAGATCAGTATTTTCCAAACTGCAGGTCTCAATCCACTAGCGGGCTCTGGGTCAATTTAATGAGCAGTGAATAGCACGTCTTTAATGAATAAGACAGAGTAGGATGCACTGCACTCAATCAGGGGAGGTGTTGTTCCTTGATGCTTTTGTTTCAATTATACACTTAACGTGTGTAATGTGCAAAATGCATCTTACTGTGGCTCCTGGTTTAAAAAGTTTGGGAGACCCTGTTCCCTGGTATAAAGAGAGAATGTGGTAAGAGGAGCACTGAACAGAAATCAATGTTGCTACCCTGAGAGCTTAAGAAAATCATCTCACCTCTTTGATTGTCAACTTCATCTGTAAGCCAGGCAAACAGCTATTATGAAACCTCTGTCCAGATAATGAAGAAGATTATATGTGACCATAAGTAGAAAGGTTGTGAGGCTGTGCAAGCGCTAAAACCTTGTGTCCTGGAATGTAGCAACACTGTAACAGACATTTTGGACCCCTGAACAGGGGAAGCAGCATTTCCCCCCTACTCCCACCATGGGATTATGAAGAAGTGATCCTGCTTTTCCTCCTCCTTATGGAAGCTCTCTCATCTCTTCTGCCACCTCCCCCACACATGAATACCTCACTCTCACCTTTATGGTGACCCATGTTCCTCTTATGTAAAGAGGAAGAGAGTATGAGATGCATTGCCTAGACCGGGAACTCACTCTCAATCTCTCTCTCTCTTTTTAAGATTTTACTTCTATATTTGAGAGAAGACAGCATGAGAGAGACAAAGCAGGAGCAAGGGATTAGAGGCAGAGAGAGAGGGAGACGCAGACTCCCCGCTGAGCAGAGCCTGCAGTGGGGCTCCCTCCCAGGACCAGGATATCTTGACCTGAGCCACCCGGGCGCCCCAGGGCATTATCTCTTTCTACTAGCAGCAAGGAAGAAACAGTTGCAGAGAACAACTACATTTGCAAATTTAGTTGCAGTTTACAATGTGCTTTTAAATGCAGCCTTTCATTTAATCATCACAAAAATCCTTGGCATATTCCTACCCCATTTTGCAGAAGAGGCTCCTTAAGGTTATGTGACTTGCCCAAGGTCCTGTAGTTTATAATGTGGCAGAGATAAGATCAGCTTGGCTGAAATAGCAAAGATGAAACTCCTAAAGAAAATTAATTCAAGAAATCCACATTTCCCTCTGCCCACTGAGGAGAATAACACGGAAAGAAAATAATCAGATGCAGCTACAGCCAACATGGTGTGGCAGGGTGGGACTGGGGTGCGGAGGGTTCAGAAAAAAATCCGAGGGCGGAGAACGGAACTCCAGGCTGTCCGCTGCAGGGCTCACTTCCTGAATGAAGTACCCATTGCATTTAAGAAGATCTTCAGCCAAGGTAGTGGGAATGCAAGAAAGGGAAATGAAAGGCTTCTTTCTCCCGGTCCTGGAGATCAGCCAGCCAACTGCGTCAAGCCCAGTGTTAGCTGAATTTTTCCTTCGGGATTTCAGACCGACGGAAGGTACTTCCCTGCACAGAAAAAAGCCAGGACTCGGGCTATAGGGAACGTGTAGTTCCCGTCACGACCACAAGGTGACGCAGTGATCCTAGCTACAGCCGCTCTGGGGAGTCTGGAAGAAAACAAATCTGTGGAAGGCTTGGGAGTTAACCATCAATCCCAGAAGACCTCTAGAAAATGAAGGAGTGCTGATAACTACTTATTAATGTGTACTTTTTGTCCATGTCAGATTCCTAATTCTGACGGATTCTGAGTTTGTCCAGTTCCGGAACAGGATAAAACAGTTCAGTCTCTGGAATTGGCACCCTAGCTCCAATACTTGGGTGACCGTAAGCAAGTCGCTTGACTTCTCTAAGACCCCGTCTCCTCGTTTATAAACATGGATCATGATAGCACCACACCGATGGGGTTGTTCTGAGGATGATGCAGACAATGCCTGCTGGGTGCTAATATTTTGCTTTCCTTTTCACCCACTTGACAACGGACTGAATAGAAATTCGAGAAGCACGCATGTGGAGACAAGGGGTACTCACCTCCATTCTCCATTCTGTCCCCACACTGACTGTATCAGTGTTGGTGCAGCTCAAGACACCGCATCCCCCAGCCACTTCAGCCACCTTGGACTTATTTAGGGTTCATGAGAGAGGCCACCGTGACAGGGTCAGAAAGCAGGGGCAGTACAAGGAAACCTGCC